ATGTTTTTTTCTGCATCATTTGATACAATCATGATTTTTTTTTCTTCAGCCTGTTGATATGCTGGATTACACTGACTGATTTTCAAATGTTGAAGCAAACTTGCATACCTGGAATACATTTCAGTTGGTCATGGCTTGAAATTTTTTAAAACATTGGTGGATTTGATTTTCTAATATTTCGTTGAGGATTTTTGTGTGTGTAAGTACATGGAGTTCTCTAGTAAAATCATCTGTGCCTGGAGATTTGTTTTTCAGCCTTTAAATTACTAACTCAATTTCTTTAATGGTTATAAAATTTTTCAGGTTATCTATTTCACCTTGATTGAGTTTTGATAAGTTTGTAGGTTTTGTGGAATTGGTCCATGTCTTATAGGTTGTAAAAATTTTTAGTGTAAAGTTATTTGTAATATTTCTTATTCTTTAAATGAGAGTGGGATCTGTACTATATCTCTTGTTTCACTCTTGAAAATGATGAGCTGTGTCTTACTTACATTTATTTTTGTCAGTCATGTTTGAAGTTTGTGAATTTTATTGATTTTTTTCAGATAAACCACATTTTGTTATATTATTTTTTTCTATGTTTCTGTTTTTTGTTTTATTGATTTTTGCTCTTTATTATTTTCTTCTTTCAGCTCTTTGTGGGTTTATTCTCTTATTTCTCTAGTTTTTTGATGGGAGCAAAGATAATTGATTTGAAACTTCCTATTTTCTATGTAAGTATTTAGAGCTATAATTTCTCCCTCAGTACTACTTAGCTGCATCTACATATTTTGACATGTTGTATTTTCCTTTTCCTTCAGTTTTGTGTCTTTTAAAATTTCCTGTGAGGATTCCTCTTTGGCCGTGGATTTTTCAGAAGCATGTCAAATTCCAAATTTTTGCAGATTTTCTTGTATTCCTGTTAAGGATTTTTAGGGCAAAGCCAGAAAAATAATCTGTATTATTTTAATTCTTTTATATTTGTTGAGTTTGTTTTATGGCATAGGACATAGTCTATGTTGATACATGTTCCTTGGGCTCTTTAAACAAATATTTATTCTGCTCTAGTTGGGTACAATGTTCTGAATGTGTCACTTAGATCCATTTGATTGATTGTGTTGCTCAGTTTTATACCCTTACTGATTGTCTGTCTAGTAATTCAGTTGCTGAAACTGGGTGTTGAAATCCTATATATGATTATAGATTTGTCTGTTTCTCCTTTAAGCTTTGTCAATTTTTCCTTCGTATATTTTGAGGCTCTTTCTTTGGGGGGGAGGTGCTCATCATGTATTTAGCATCACTGTGTCTTCCTGGTACATTAATCTTTTTATCATTATTTAATGTTCCTCTTTGTCTCTAGTAATTTTTTTACTCTGAAGTCTACTTTATCTGAATTAATATAGCCTGCATTTTTATATTTAATGTTTGCATGATATGCCTTTTTTCACCCTCTTGCAACATTTCTGTGTCATTGTATTTGAAGTGAGTTTCTTGTATATAGTATATTGTTGGATTATAATTTAGTGTCCACTCTGCAAATATCTGCCTTTTCATTGATGTATTTAGACCATTTACATTTAAGGTGGTTATTGGTATGTTTAGGACTTGAATCTATTTTATTTTTTGTTTTCTGCGCCCCCTTTCTTATTATCTTTTTTTTACCTCCTTGTGCTTTATTGAACAATTTTTAGGATTCCTTCTTGATGTGTTCGTAGTATTTTTGAGTATATCACTTTGTGTAGTTGTTTTTTTTCTCTTTAGTGTTTATTCTAGGTATTAGAATAAGCATACATAACACATCACAGTCTATTTGTATCAACATTTTACCACTTTGAGTGAAGTGTGAAAACTTCCTTCCATATATATCCCTTTTCTTTCCCCACTTTTAAATATCTTTTTCTTGATAAGATGATGTATAATTTGTTTCAATCATTCAACTATGGTTTATAAGACTCATCAGAAGTGCATATTTCTGCTTTTTTGTTGTTGTTGTCATTCTTTCTTCCAATCTGATAGTCCAAGATTTCTTCTTTTATCATTTCCTTTCTTTGAAGACCTCCCTTTAGCCAATTTGTAAGGGTAGGTCTGCTAGCAACAAATTCTACTAGTTTTCTTTTGTCTGAGAATGTCTTTGTTTCCCCGTCACTCCTCACTGGATACAGTATTCATGGCTGGCAGTTCTTTCCTTTCAGCACTTGAAAAATTTGGGGAGTGTCAGCCATTATTTCTTAAAATACTCTTTTAGCCCTACTCTCTTTCTCAGATCCTTCTGGGACTGTGATGATGGATCTGTTGTTATTGTCCCACAGGTTCCTGAGGCTCTGTTCATTTTTTCAGTCTATTTTATCTCTGTTGTTCAGAGTAAATCCTATTGATCTGCCCTCAGGTTTACTGATTTCTGTCCTCTGTCATTTCCACTCTACTATTCAGCCCACCTAGCAAGT